ATGAAAAAAAAGCATTCGAATGGTATTTAAAATCAGCAGAGTCTGGATTTTCTAAAGCACAGTATAATCTTGCTTTTCGTTATGCAAATGGAAAAGGAACAATCAAAGATGAAAAAAAAGCATTCGAATGGTATTTAAAATCAGCAAAATCTGGAGAACCTCAGGCACAGTATAATCTTGCTCTTTGTTATGCAGATGGAGAAGGTACAATCAAAGATGAAAAAAAAGCATTCGAATGGTATTTAAAATCAGCAGAGTCTGGATTTTCTAAAGCACAGTTTAATCTTGCTTTTCATTATGCAACTGGAAAAGGAACAATCAAAGATGAAAAAAAAGCATTCGAATGGTTTTTAAAATCAGCAGAATCTGGAGACCCTCAGGCACAATTTATGCTTGCTATCTGTTATACAGATGGAAAAGGAACAATCGAAGATGAAAAAAAAGCATTCGAATGGTATTTAAAAGCAGCCGAGTCTGAGAATAATGAAGCCCGATTTATTTTGAGATTTAGTTATGAAAGGAACGATGAGATGAAAAATATAGAACATATTTTATTTAATCTTATCTTTAGATTAGCAACTAACGGCAATTCTCGCAATTCTCGCCTACAATTTCGACTTGGTCAATGTTATGAATATGGAGAAGGAACGGACAAAGATGATAATGAAGCATTTAATTGGTATTTAAAAGCGGCAGAATCTGGTAATGATAAAGCCCAATTTAATATTGGAAAATTTTATCAATATGGAATAGGGATACCAAAAAATCTCGAGTTAGCTTTAAAATGGTATCAAAAGGCTAATGATAATGGACATGATATAGCTGCTGAAATGGTTGAAGCTTTTAATTTTGAAAAAATTTTCCAAATTAATTATTAATTTTTTTAATTTTCATTTTGAAGACATTTGTTAATTGAATTCTGATTTATAAATCTGCTTATCTTCCGGAATCTTTTTAGTGCTCTATTATTGATATTTTTGTCTATAAATTGGTTGTAGAGCGAATTTTTTTGTAGTTGTCTTTATAAAAAGAACTTTAATTTTTTAAAAAAACTAACTTTGTATACGAAATATTCATTAATGTTATACTTTGGCGGATAACATTTATTTAAACACAAAAAATTTGTTGTTTCTTTAGTATGTATATTGAAACCATCAAAGTTTTTCGTCAAAGTGTGTTTAAAGTAGTAGCATTTTTTGTTTGTTTTAGAGAAAATAGTTCGATCTCATGTCATTAATTAAAGTTATTACCCATTTCTTTTATTTGTAAAAAAATTTTGATAACGATTTTAGAATAAATTTCTTCTTAGATTATTGTTATTAAAATTTATTAAATTCTATTTTTAATAATAGATTATTTTTTTTAGCAGGAATATAACTATTATAAGTTTTCACCTGATTAACGATTTTGTTTTAATGCTCAAAAAAGAATCTTTTATTGTTCGGAAGTCTCGTTTTATTTTTTATATTTCGTTTTAATTGTCACCATTTTCTTTTGCTGAAGATAGTGTTGTTTTCATTATGTCATATTGTCTAGGAGGTATTTTATCTTGAATTTGTAGCTTTTTTTGAGGGAGCTGAATATCGTTATTACATGTATAAAAAGTTGGTCGATTCATTTAATATATAAACAAGAAATTTCGTGATATAATCTTGTGATTATAAAGAGAGATTGCTATTATAAGGGATTTGGGCGCATAAAGTTGAGTATATAAAGGCTGTGGGTATAGAGGATATGCTTATACATTTATACTTGCATACATATATATTGAACAGGGAAAATTTTATTTTGTTCGGTATTTAACTATATAATGTAAACGACATTTATAACGGAAAACGACCTATGATATTCCCGGCTGGTGAAAATTTATTATTGAAAAATAGTGAAATCCTGTTCTAGAACACTGATCAACTGCTGAGAGAATTTTAGGAATTTATGCAGCTTTACCACTCCGCAAAATTTCTGGGAGGATGAGAAACCGAATGCTTACATTTTCAACACTAAGTCTCTTTAAAACATATGAAGAAATAATGCCTTAAACTAGAAATGCAGAAATGCATTGAATGAAACATGCCTACGAATGTAAACAAATGAAAACAAATCCATTCAAATACAATTTATGTTCAGCACAAATTTGATCCCAACTGATAAATATAAACACATACATATACAGTCAACTTATCGACTGAAAATCCAACCCTCTCCCTGGTATTCCCTCGAGTTTGCGGTCCTGAAATATCATTACGAGCATTCGGTAAATCAAGAGTTGGTATTTTACATTAATTAAAATTTAGCAAACATTTAGGCAAGTTCCAAATGAAAGTAAAAGTATTATTTATCTATTATTATGTATTTTTTTACATGTCAAGTGGATTCCAATATTAGTATATCAAACGAGATTAAGAAAGGAATTTTATTTCGCAAGCGCTAGACATACATGCATACTGTGCATTGTGAATTTATGAGATTAGCCATACCGTATACATGTATGACCCTGCATAAAAGGAATGAACTTAAAATTTTTTATTATTTATATATTGCTTACTAATTTAAACGCATTTATCATGAAACTAACATATGATATTTAATTTGGCACTATAAGAAACATAAAATTATATACTGTAATTCGATGCATAACCATAAATCTCGCTCCATAAAGGTCCCTCTGTTTTATCAATAGTTTTCTTATTTTACTAATTAAACTTTCTTGCGAAATGTAACAGACTCTGGACATTTATGCGATATTAAAGGCAATCTCAAAAATGATATTAACATATTTCAAAGTTAGAATATGTATAAGTATAAATAATGAAATTACTATATAATGATTACAAAGCAAATCACTCTTTAAAAGATCAGCGTGCTTTTTATGATAATGGCTGATTTTACTGAAGTTTTCATCATGAATTATAACTTTTCTTGAAAGTCATTTGATTTCTCTTTATTCTCTTAAATTTAGTTTAGGTATTATAGAATCAGGACAGTAATTTTTATTCAATTACTTGACTATTATGATTATTAGCAAGTATATACATGTATAAATTTTAGCATTATGGAAATAAAAGCATGTATATGGTTTCATCAATTTTTCCACAACTCTAATTTTCTTTCATAATCGGCAACAACCAAGTTTCAATACCGAATAGTCGCAAAATAATGCGCAGGGTTCCGGGAGTTATTTCGTGCCTTTATAGTAAACGCCTAGTTTGTCACGCCACTTTTATGTCTAACATAATATCGTGACGTTTGCCGGTGAGGTAGCTTACCTAAACCATCGTATAGGATAAATTAAGGGATGGCTGATATCGACGATGTAATCGGAGATCAAATTTCTGAGCGTGTAAGAAATTATGATTCATTTGTCAAAAATCTTTTTGTTTTATTTTGTTTGTTTTGCAATGTCAGTTATAAATTAAGATGAATCGCGTGGGTTCAGACTGCTGATGGCATCTTTATTTATCTTTTAAAGATATATAATTTTTGAATTTATTATAAATTATATATTTAATATAAAAATTCAGGAATATCAATTTTTTAAAAAAACTTGGACAAGTTGTCCAAGTTATTCAAAGTTAACCCTGAAAAATCTATTCATCTTAAAATTAGAATAAAATGCTTTATATATGATTTTATTAAAACCAATAAATTTATTTCTTAGTAGGCTAATTTAAAAAGTTTTGATGACAAATTAATATATAAATAATATACATGTAGTCAAGCTCAATTATAACTAAAAAATTTTTAATGAAAATATGTGAAGTTCTTATTTCTGCTATGACTTCTTGCATATAAATGGAATATGATATCTAGGAATTATGAATTGCGATTTATTCAAAATTATAAAACTAATGAGTTGTATATTCCATACTTGGTTTTTAAACTTTAATTCTGATACATTCTGGAATTTTTTCATTTATTAGAGCTTTTGTCATTAACGTAATTATTATTTCCATATGCTTGTTTGTTCATGAATTCAATTATCTCTAAAGTAAAGTGATCGAAATCATTAGCTTTTACCGAGTCATCAAGAAATGGCTGTTTTCATTGTCCACTAGGTCGTCTTTCAGGTTAAATCCTTGTGGTGACACGCAGAAGATATTATCATAATGGTACATTCAAACCAATTTTATCCATGACCATGATTTCTTCATAAACAAAATGTGTTATAGAGTGACGTAGCCATATCGATATGTATAAAAATATAACCATCTAAGAAGTCGACAGAATGTGATGTTTGGACTATACGTATACGTACGATATTATATTTATATAATACTCGTATTAATTTTGTTTATGGTGTTTGATCATAGCGTATATTTCTATTATACATGAATAATAATTTATCATTACTTAACTTTCAAATAAACGAATTCTCTGTTCATACCTGGTACGCATATATTAATGTCATCCCTTTAAAGTTTTTTTACAGGGCAAGTCAAAAACATAGCTCACTTATTATGTTCCTTCTTTTAAAAATCCACGAATAAGTACAACCCAAAAAACTGAATTAATACAAATTATAATAACACAACAAAAAATTCAGTCACCAAAACTGTCTGAGTGTCCCACTGAAAGAGAACTATGAAAATATAAAGAACGACGGATTATAGTGTTCAAGTCTTACGAATTCATTATTAATTCCAAAAGCACAGAATTCGATTCGATCGATTAAATGTTGGTTTTAATATTATACAAAGCGATACTTATTGAATTTAATAACCGGGATCATGAAAAATTAGAAGTGCCGAATCAGCTGTAGGACTGCCCGTGCCAGGATAATCCAAATTAAATAATCATCACACTGCTTTGTGCTGTATTTGTAAACTCTTTCTGTTGAGTTAGACAGATCGACAAAATGACCCATAAGCGGTTACACGGGTATGGAAGCAACAACGTGTAGACATACTTGCTGTTGACAAACTACATGTACATGTATAAGTAAGTTAACCAACTGAAACAACATGATCATCAATTGTATCTGAATAGCTTACTGAACACGTACTGCTGTGTCAGGAATGTTAATTCTGCTACTCACTTTTTGATTTATAAATACATAAAAAAGAGCAAACTTACAAAATTGTTGATTCCGCCAATTAAAAAATCGGGATGAGCATTACGATAATTCAAACCTGTACTATAATGATGCAGCACTATGATAATAAGCTATGTAACAATTGACTAAATGTATTTTTTTGTGCATCTCATCTTTCAGTAAACCAATCAAATCACAAGGTATGAACAATTCCATGTATGACCTCTTTAAGGCTCAATATCTCGGAACCCAATAACAGGAATCAAGTACAAAATTACCAGAACCTAGTGAATTGAATGGTATGTCTTACACTCAACTCCTAACATTAAGTCTCAAGATACTTAGCTCAGCAAACCTATTTTGAAAAAATTCAAAAATGGTTGTGCTAGTGTTGGAAGACATCAAATGTCAATTTTGCGGGTGTAAAATAATTAAAGGCAACATAGAGACTGAGAATGGTAGATGCTTCCAGATTTTGATCGGGTTTAAAAAGGCGAACGCAATTGATAAAAGTCGAGGCGCAGGTAGAGAAAGCATAGTTTATCACCATCAACAGCGACATTGGATGTCTTGCGCGCTATTTCTACAACTCTTGTACGATACTGATGGACTTCCATGAGCATTGCAATATGTTCTTCAACAATATTGTTGCGAAACGAGTAGATTTCTTTAAAAAACTCTTGGGCAGAGATTTTAATTTTATTGATGATAAATCTCACGCGGTCATTAAGATACTTGAGAACAAGTATAATCTTGATAAATTTGTTATGAAACTGCAAAATTGATAGTCAACTCTTGTACCATTGCATCAAAACTATTCCAGTTCAACTTGATAACATTCTGAATGAGGAGTCTCCAGAATTGACAGTGATGTCTTATGCTAGGCATGAATAACTTATCTAAAATTCCTTTTTACTTTGTTTATATATTAACATAGTGTTGAACATCATTTCCGACATTTTACACAACAAGTTTCAATTTGGTTCAAGGATGTCTTTGTATAAATAGGAAAGTTTTGTAATACAGTTTGAAATATTCCGCAACAATATGTTTTTCTGAGCTAAAATTGACAAAAATAATTTTGAAAGGTCTCTATCGCAGGGCAACTGGCAAAAATTCTGTTCTGGACATACAGATCTAACTCAGAAGACTTCAAATATGTGAGATGCAAAACCAGTTCCCAAAAACAGGCTTTTCACAAAGATGTTCTGATGGAATATTTTTGAACCAAGATGGCTTAATCATTCTGAATGACCAATCATTCTGAATGACCAATCATTCCCATACACTGATGTTTTTTTAACGCGCCAAACACCTAGCAAAGACAAGAATTTTCTCAAGGTTCTCAAGAAAAATAATGTCTACAACTCTGCACCTAATAATGACTCGAAGAAACGACTTTGGAAATACCACGTTGTAACTATTATGCTGTTATACTTCTCTATAAGAACACTCTATATAAGAACAGAGTTTTGAGAATTAATGAATTAGTATATATTAAAAATCAAGAACAAACTCTCTAAATAACCAGATTTTCTGGTCTGACTGTGTTCTTATGTAATGTGACTGTATTTACATTGCAATCTTGCAAAGAGAATGTCAATGATCTACCAAATAATTGCAAAGAACAAACTTTGAGCAGTATTTTGATCCAGTATTTGGTTTTTAGTATCTTCGCAGAGCCATAACAGATTGCCAACCAGATTGATGTGATCGGAAAGACCATGGCAAGGGCTTTATGCAAATAAAATCATATTATAATTCGATAATCTCATTAGAAAGAATGTAAAATATGGCACAGCGCTCAAATACAGCTGAACAGTGCCATTCACATCATATTCCTTGACTCAATACACAAAATTTAAAAAATCATCAAATTTCATAAAAGAATGAAAAGAAAATTTATAATGTAAGTCAAACCTTCTATAATGGCGACGCTTTTCATAATGAGATCTCCTTATAATAAATATAGAGAAATTGACCTTCCCTGTGGTGTAACTATAAAGTTATTCGTATTAGTAATAATTTTGCCAGAATGTTTTAAATTTATGATTATTTATTTACAAACTTCTATAAAATTCGCAAAAAAAGCTGGTTAACTAAATTTATAGCTGTTTTTAAAAAATTTAAACTTGAAACTGTTGCTAATATAGTTGAAAATGTCAAATTCTTGTTCCAGTTTACGATGTATTCCCCAAAGCCAACGCTAGCACTCCCAAAAACTGCATATATGTGGCATTGTCAACTACTTTTATCAGTCTCAAAGATGACCAAAATTTTTCAGATAACACAACTGTTACTATCAAGTTGTCAACGAAATTGTCTATGTCAATGGAATTAAAAGTCTTATCTCAATGCTCTCGTAGAAAATGTGTTTCACATCTGTGTAATTGACTTTCGTAGTCATACTACATGTACTAAACCAGAAACCACGGTTGGAAGTGTTATCAACTCAACATCTGGATCAAAGATCCAGATGCTAATTCAATCTCATTTGTTGGATTTATGATTACTTTGTTCGCTGCTGTCTTAATCTTTACAATTATAATTTAATTTTTCAATAATTAAACGAGTTGTTTCCAAACACTTCAAATATTAATGACAAAACATTGAATTAGTTATACATCTACACAATAAAATCATTAGTGCATAATTATGATATGACTTTAGCTCGAAAATGCGAGAAAATATTTTTCTATTAGTTGAAATAAACAAGCTAATCGCGCAAATGATTTTCTAGTCTTTTTCTTTTATCCTCATGATTATGAATAAAAGATATTCTATTTATTATTCCCCACCAAGTTAAATCAATGGTGACGTTTAAATTGAATAATCACGATAATCGATTAAATTTGCATTTTACTCGAACGTAATTTACCAGAAGTTTATATTATACAAATAGATCTTTTAATGTAGCGCTTTATGATAAAAATCGAGATTTGCAATTAAAATTGAAATAGAAATTATTAAAAAGATCTTTGACTGTTTGATTGTGTTTTTAAGTTGATATATATTTATTGCAATTGCAAACGAACAATCAATTGAAAGTTTTGATGAAATTATGGAGCCGGTAGATTAACATAAAACCTTGGAAGTGGAAAAAAGATACGACGATGAGTACAGATGAAGGACAAAAATCGTCTTATTGACTCGGAAGTTGAAAATGATGATGAATGCCAATGGATTGTGATTTATTCATTTAATCTGTTGATGATTATCAGCTTTTTTAATCTGATCAGATTGGGTCTAAATTTTACCAATTACATGTATATGATAGATTTAGAATATTATAATACCGATACATGTACGTGCATAAGCAAAAATTAAAGGCTGGAAAGGGATTAAGAAATTATAAGGAATAATAGCAATTTTATGTCACTAGTGCATGACATGTACTTACACGACACGAAGTTTATGAAGTTTTATAATTAAAGACATAAAAAACTTTAATAAAATTAATCAATCCAAGAAAATAGTATTGGTCCATGATAATATTTATAGACTTGAGATTTTGGAAAATCTCAAGTAGTTAATTATTAATATAGAAAAACAAATGAAACTCATTCTTATTCATTATTTCCTTCTATAATTATAATCTTTTGCAAGTAAAAAATAACTAATAATAGTTCACCTCGAAGCCCAATGAGAAATATAAATAAATCGTTAAAATGCCTATTTTACAGCACCACGATCACCAACAAAAAGAATAAATATAATGTATTTATTTATAATCATAAAAATTTTTATAAAAAAATTTTACCAACTCTGATAATTGGTCTAAGCCAATACATTCTTTAGCATCTACATATATTGTGTAAAAGAAAAATATATTTTCAATATAAATAGACATCACTTCAGATAAAGTATCTCCATTAGAAGCGTTGACAACCAACCAAAGAACAAATGCATCCCTTTTACGACCTGGAATTTTACTTAATAATTCAAAAAGGTTATATAAAATGACTCTGAAATTCACTAAATTAATAAAACTTATAATTGAATACAAAAAAAGTCGAACGGTTTGAATATATACAGTATGTAAAGTCGCCACAGAAAGTAACAGTAACGGTAACGCCCGATTTGCATGTGTAACAACATAGGTAAATATATGCGTCGCGTTTTCCTACTTTTTTATTGTTGTCCCTAATTTTTTTATTATTTTCTTCTTTTACCTTTAAACAATACACTAGATGAAATTTTTTAGGTGTAAATATGATACCTGTCGTACCAGTAGGCCATCTCTGACAAGGATAAAAATAGTG